AAAAAAAAAGTAGTTGACAAACTAAGGTTAAAAAAAGGCAAAGAGACCCTTAAGAGAACAATGATTGGCTTATTTCCTTTTGGACTTCAGAGTTTTAGGCAACTCTAATTATATATACAATTTAGATTCCTGCTGCAGCAGCCAGGGCCCTGTGAGGAGCAGGTGGAGGTCACCAGGCTGGACTGCCAGGGTCAAGGTAGGGGATGGTCAGCACCCTACCATCCCCTACCATCCCCCTACCATCCCCCTACAGGGGATGTGGCAGCCTCAGGGCCCAACAAGGCTGGGGTCCCCAGGGAGTTGTGACTGCAGGGATCTATTCCCACTCCCAGGTCTCCAGCTCCTCCCACTGGACACCCATCACAGTTAGGGAGACCATGATGCTTGGGGCACAGAGCAGGGTGGAGCTGAGAAAGGGTCTGCAGGGGCAGAGGCAGTGTGCCTAATTTGTGAAATAATATTATGGCATTGAGTATTTTCCTATGTAGTTACAGACATGCCATGTCCACTTTCCAGTTACAAAATGTGTGACATGCACCATGTTATATCATCACGAGGATGATCAAGGACCTTGGAAATTAGAACCATTCACTTTCTTCCTTGCTGTCCTAACTACCCCATGTTCAGGGAGATGTGACCAAGGGGCTGGTTTCTCAGTTATCCTTGGCTTCCGTCTATCCCCAGGGCTGAATGGCATGGAGATGATAGAAAGACAGGGATGATGATGCCACTGCCTGTATTTTGAGCCATGTCCTAAATGTGATCATGTTTGCTGTGGGAGCCTGGCGGAAGTGTTAGGACCAGGAGCTGGGGAGTCAGAAGACCCAGGTTCCCATCTTGACCCTGCAGCTCACTCACTCTGTGACCTTCATCAACTTAAATAACCTCTCTGTGCCTGAGTTTCATCCTTTTTAAATGAAGATGATAACTTACCCCTCTCATTATGATTACATGGAAGATGAAGCGGATAAATGCAAAGTGCCTTAGCACAGAGCCTCAGGGCTCAGCAAATGCAAGTCGGGCACTCAACTGCCTTGCCGTGACAAGACATCACCTGTCTTGATAATCTGTGAGGACTTGGGAAAAGAGTGCCTAATTTTCTGAAACCCCCAGTTTTGTACTTCAAGAATGAAGATCCAGAGTCTTGATCTGGACTTCTGGCTATGACAGTCATGGTGCATTAGGGTCCTTAAGAGTCTACCCAAGAAGGGCTGGTACTCTTGGGAGCTGGTGCCAAGGCTCTAAGTTGGAACACTCCTGTGCCAGTCTGATGGCAGAGAGGTAGCCAGGGCTGGCAGCCTCCAGAGGGCCCCAGCCCCAGCTGCTCTCTAGTCCCATGGCTTCCCACAAATTGTCTCATCCACTGTGTCTACAGAGACGGGGTTAGTGGGCTGAGCACTCAGGCCTCCCTGGTCTGGTTTCAGGGCTTCCAGCAGCTGAAAGATGCCCACGCAGCCCTAGAGGAAGAGTACCTGAAGGCCTCCAGGGAGCAGTACCTTGCCCAGCAGCCTACCAGCTCCAAGGGGACACCTGGGGAATTTGATCCTAGCAGGTACTTGCTGGGGAGGGATGCCCAGAAGGGCAGATGGGACAGACCGTTGGGTTCCCTCTGTCTCCAGGAGGGAGGCAATTTGTTCTCATAGTTTTTACACAAGAGGAACAGAGAGAACTCCTATCCCAATTAGCAACATAGTCAAATGGTGCAATATTTGAAAGCTGCCTGTGGTTATGTCCCTGTGGATGCGATGAGAAGTCACCTGGGAGATAAGAGCTGAAAATCCCTATCAGACAATTGGGAAACTGAGGCCAGAGGGGCACAGGATTTACTTAAGGCCCCACAACCTGTGGGCCTGGGGCCTCCTAAATCCCAGCAGAGCCTTCTTTCATGGTCTTTATTTTGAGTTCTCTACATCATCTGAATGGTGACACTAAGGGGATCCTACATGGGCATTCCCTGGGGCCTCTGCTGTGACACATGCTCCTGGGCCTACCTGATGTGACTGCCATCCTGGGTTCCAGGGAGCTGGAGGCGGAGATATACCACCTGGGAATTTGCCTGGAAGAGCTGAAAGACCACATGAACCAGACCCAGCAAGAGTCTGAGCCATCCAGGTCAGACCCAGCTCTGGACAGCTCCCTAGCCACACCCCTCTCCCACCAGCCAACACATCTGCCTGCTCCCTCGGAACAAGCCCCCACACCAGCCTTCAAGACCCTCTACCCTAAGGTACCTCTTAGTTCAACCTTATTGAACTCTTCCTTCATGCATTCCTTTCTTTATTGCTTATTTAGGAAGTATGTACCATAAGCCAGGACCAAAGAAGACACCTGAAGGGGACTCAGTGGGGTGGGAAGAGGTGGGGAATGTGCCCTCTACCCTTGTGGAGTATTCTGTATAATTAATGCATTTACAGTTATTTAATCATAATTTTGATCAGTGCTCTGAAGGAAAATTACGGGGTTCTATGATAAGTAGATATCAGGGTAACATGATGGAGTTTGGGTGGGACTCCAGTGAAACTTTCCCCAAAGAAATAATATTTAAATGAGGTCTGAGGGTCAGCAGGAACTGTAGGTACAGAAGGAGAAAGCATCCAGCAGGGGAAGCAGCCTGTGCAAAGGCCCTGTGGCTAGGGTATGGAGAGCGAAGGGAAATAATAGTGTGAGATGTGGCTGGAGAGGCAGCAGGGACCCTGTGATGGAAGGGCTTGTCAGTTAACAGGAGTGTGGCCTTAAGCTTTGCTGATTTTTCAGCAGGAGATTTGTGGGTAGCCCAGTCTGAGGCTGGAGGTGAGGAGGTGGTGGGGCAGAGGCAGAGGCATGCATGGACTTGAGAAAGGACCAGAGGTGTGTTTGACTGGCCTAGGAGTGGCATGAGAGGGAAGGGAGACAAGTGTGACCTGCGGGCTTCATGTGTAGTTCTGTGGGATAAAGGGGTGAGGCCTAGACAAGGCCGCACATGGGTAGGGGCTTTGTGGAAGTCTCCCCAGCCTGCATCTCACCTCCTAGAGAGATGATCACTCTCTCCATTTTTAACAAACTGAGTGTGGTATGGTTGCACAGATGACAAAAGTAGGGTATCTACACCTCCAATCTTTTGTTGCCTGTGCTGTAAAGGCTTGTCTGTGGAGAATGGGAACAGGAGAGAGGGCCTGGAGCATTAGGGTGGGGCACTGGGAGGATATCCGTGCCAGCCAAGGTCTTGTTGGGGGAAGTCCTCTCACACCATGCTGTGCCCTAGAGGGTAAAGAAACGCCAGCAGGCAGCATCACATGTGTGAACGGGGGTGGGGGGGGGTAGGGGGGAACCTGAGCAGGTTGCCTTGGTGGGGACCTGTGCTCTTGCAGTGAAGGTGTTTGGGAGGCTGGGGTACCCTTGCTGGAATGGAAGAGGATCAGGAGAGATGCTTCTGGTTTGAAATCTGGGTTCAAATTAGCTCTGCCCCTCACTATGTAACTTTGGGCAAATCATCTGAGCCTCAGTTACCTGTGTGTTAAGTAGGTTGTAATAACCGTCCTGGGGAGATTATTGTGAAGGGCTGTCTGTGTGCTGTCGGGCACATAGTTCACTCTGTTCATGGCAGGCAGGATTGAAAATCACAGGGTCCAGTCTCTACGTTTTGCACATGCATGAAAGTGTGGCGAGGCTAGGTGTGGCGGCTCATACCTGTAATCTCAGCACTTGGGTAAGCCGAGTTAGGAAGATCATTTGAGTCCAGGAGTTTGAGGCCAGCCTGGGCAACATAACAAGACCCTGTCTTAAGAAAAAAAAACTTTTTAAATTAGCCAGGTGTGGTGGCAAGTGTGCCTATAGTCCCATCTACTTGGGAGGCTGAGGCAGGAGGCTCGCTTGATCTCAGGAGTTGGAGACTGCAGTGAGCTATGATTGTGTCGATGAACTCCAGCCTGGGTGACAAAACAAGGCCCCTGTCTCAAAAGGGTGGGGAGGGGTAGAATGAGTGAGCATAACATATTTCTTACTTTTCTTTTTTTAAGACAGAGTCTCACTCTGTCACTTTGTCACCCTGGGTAGAGTGCCATGGCGTCAGAGCTCACAGCAACCTCTAACTCCTAGATGCAGGCTATCCTCTTGCCTTAGCCTCCCAAGTGGCTGGGACTATAGCCATCCACATGACACCTGGCTAGTTTTTCTATTTTTAGTAGAGACAGGGTCTTGCTCTTGCTCAGTCTGGTCTTGACCTCCTGAGCTCAAGCAATCCATCCGCCTTGGCCTCCCAGAGTGTTAGGATTACAGGTGTGAGCCACTGTGCCCAGCCACATTTCTTACTATTCAACATGAAGCACAAGCCTGGCATGATATTAGTGCTTCAGAGTTGCTTATGTATCTGCTGAATCTCTGTCCCTCCACTTTTTGGCCCCAGCCTGACGCTGCGACCGCTGGCTCCTGCTCAGAGAACGTGAAGGTGAGCTCTGACAGCAGTGAGGTAGAGGAGAGGCCTCAGGACCTCCCGGCCTCACTCAGGCACAAGGAGCTGCACGTGGAGCAAGATTTCCCCGGCCTCCTGGAGCAGTGAGTGCCCCTCAGACCTGACCTGGGTGTCTGGCTGGCCGTCGGATCCTGGATGCCCCTGCTGCCCCGAGGTCACGCCCCTCCATGCGTTCTTTTGCAGGTATCTCAGTGTGAAGTCTCTCCCAGAAGCCATGAGGATGGAGGAGGAAGTAGAGGAGGGAGAAGAGGAGGAGGAGGAGGAAGGCCACACCCTGGAAGTTGACGGGCTGTCTCTGGCTCCAGGAAAAGCAGAGGCCACCAGGGCTCCTCCCAGGCAGCACCTGGCACAGGCTAAGAAAAGTCGCAGGGCCCCCCTTGAGTAAGTCACTGAGCCTTCCCTACAGAGTATCCTGGGCCACTTGAAACCAGGGGGTGATCATTGTCAGGGTGACTTAGCACATGACAGCGTAGACTTGGCTTGCCTGTCCTGTTTCTCCACAGTGTGGAGCACGTACCTCTGATAGCCCAGGGGAATGGTTTGGGGTGGAGTGAGACTCAATCTTCACTAGGACAGATGCAGTGATAAATAATGTGATTCTCCTGTCAGTCTCTGCCCTTCTGATGACACCACGGAAAAAGTCTCAGTTAGTGCTGGTATGTCTTTAATGCCTGTCTGAGAGCGAAAGAGAGGGAGAGAAAGAGAGAGAGAAATGCACCAGTGAGTATGGAAGCCGGCCTCAGGCCCGGAGCTTTAACAGGAGGCAATAGGAGCTATTAGAATATAATAATGTTGTTTCAGATTTTCTGTATTTATTTTCAAGTTAGTTTCTATTGGTAACATGAAATACTGGTCCTCTGTTTATAATAATGACCTCCAGTCTTTTAAGAAGATGGAAGTTTATGGAAACGGCTGAAATAGGGGAGGGGGATATAACTGCTGGAGGCTGGGAACCACCGCTTTAGCTTACTTGTTTTCACAAAATTCCCTCTGGGGTGCATTGCGTGGGTCTTGTTAGCATCCCTGTTCACAGTTGAGAAAAGTGAGGGTGAGACGGGAAGTATCTTGCCCAATGTCACTTAGCTAGAAGGTGGCAGAACCGGACACCCAGGAGTGCCTGACTCTAGAGCTTGTGCCCCAGGCACCTTGGCTCCAGGAACAGGTCAAACCCCAGGGCAGCACTGCCTGTCTTGTGGCAGGGCTTAGGGATGCTCTTCTCTTCCCCTGCCAGGGAGGCCATGGAGCAGATAGTACCTGTGGAGCCACCAGGCTTCCAAACATCCCTGGCCAGGGACAGGCATATGCTGGGCCCATGTAAGGCCAAGGCAGCTCCCCCAGGCCCTGAGATGCTACCCCACCCTCTGAGCGGCAAGTCCATAGCATCCCACCAGAGCAGTATGACCAGCCTGGAGGGGAGCGGCATCTCTGAGCACCTTCCACAGAAGTCTCTGCACCCACCTGGCAGACCCCACCCGGAGGTGAGTGTCTACTTGGGGGCCTGGACCATCCCTGGGTCTCCTGAGTTTTCTGCCTCCAGGACTTTGCTTATGCCATTCCTTCTCAGAATGCCTGCTGCCCTTGTCCCTGAGAGCCACTCTCCTGCCTGACATGCAGGGCTAGGCCCAGTGCTCCCCCAGCCCAACCCTCTGCCAGAGCTCTATGGCCCTTCTGAGAGCTTATAGCCCACTGCCTGTTATTTCTCAGAGGCGACTTGGCACAGCCAGGGTGCTGCCATTGACTGTATGCCCTTTGTGCCATTAGAGCAACAACTATTGCACTGCCTTATGGAATGATGCACATATATGCACATGCACACTCACACATGTACACATGCATACATGCACACATAGATGTGCACACACACACACACTTCTGAGTCCTAATGAGCCTGAGCAAGTCTGCACTAGACCATGAACTCACTGAGAGCAGGTACCTGTGTTGCTCTGCTTCTGTTCTTTAAGCAGGGTGTTAAACCCAGTGGGTGGGAGCTATACATGTTTGATGGGTTTGTTTTCCCAATGCACTGGGCATTTAGGATACCATGGTGTTCTCGGCCCCAACCAGAAGAAGCTGGAAATAAGACTTCCTCCTTCTTTGGCTAGTCCTTGTCTGCCGCTGTGTCTCCCAAGGTCTGTGGCTGCCACTCCTTAGGGAGGCAGGACTTGCTCAGGGTCCTCTCAGGGTATGAAGTCTCTGCCATCTTGTGCTGTGGCCTCAGGACCCTCCCCCCTTGGACCTGGCTACTGGGAGCTGAGCCAGCCTCTCTGGTCTGGGAATCCTTAGGAGGTGCAGCCCAGGCCAGGATTTGGGAAGGTGCCTTGGGCACATTCCCCAGACTTACAGGGACACTGCCTCTTTCAGGAGACCTGGATGGCATCCCCAGAGACAGACAGTGGCTTTGTGGGCTCAGAAACCAGCAGAATATCACCTGTTACCCAGACCCCAGAACACCGGATCTCACACATCAGGTATCCCAGGATCCCACAATTGTCCCATCAGTGCCACAGACCTAGGGTAGCCTGGGGCCAAAGTGCCCATGACACCCAGCAATAGTTCCTCATTCTCATCTTAGGGGTTCAGAGAGGGGCCATGACTTGCCCAGGCTCACATAGCCAGTTAGCAACAGACAAGTAAATTATTTTTGTGGAGCAAATGAATGCATGAATGAGCAAATGAATGAAAATTGCAGAGAGGGTAGTATAAGGTGAACAGGACATAGACAAAGGGCACTCAGGGTGTCTGCATGGAACCCACAGGACAAAGGGAGAGGGCAGAGAGATGTGAGTGAACAGTGATGTGATGGAGCCTCCATGTAGACAGTGGTCTCCAAGGTTAGGTGCAGGCCTCCTAAGAGGCAGACATACAACCCAAGTGTCCATGCAAAGAAAGGATTAGAAATTCTATTTTTCTTTATATATTCTGGAAAATAAATTGAGCTTTATTATTCTGCCTACATACTGGCAGATGTACTGCTATACAGATCATAAAAAAGTGGATGCATAATGTGGGTACATCCTGGGAAATAGTGTACCACCAGGTGTGTGGAATCCCAGAGGTTGGGAGCTCACTGTGTTGGGTTAGGCTAGAAGGCTCTGGCCCTGCAGGCTGAGGGCTTCTGTCTCCCTGCATGGCCACCAGCAGCTCAGGAACATTAACCCAGCCCTTCACTGCAACTACGCCCCTGCATGGAGCTTCCCACCCCAAGGCCAGGCGTTCTCCAGTCCCCAGAAAAGCCGTGGAGCCCAGCACTCCTAGGACAAGAGCCCAGAGGCACCTCTCCACCGCAGGCAGGCCTCTCCAGCAGAGAGCACCCAGCTTCCGCCAGGAGCAGGCCTTGGTGGCCGGGATGAGTAAGTGGATGGATGGCTCTGGGGTGACTGGGCTGCAGGGATTGAAAGATCAAACAGAAAACTTGCATTATCCTATAAGAATGAAGTATTATAGAGGTTCATTACAGGAAAGTTTGAAATTACAAATAAGGTGGGAAAGGGGGGGGGAAAGGCAAAAATATGCTGGACCCATCAGTGCAAACGTTTGGTATAGAATCTATGGGCTGTTTTCTATGCTGACGCAGATGTGTATTTATTTTCCTGCACAGTCACACACCGCATCACAACATTTTGGTGAAGGACAGACCACAGTTACAGCGGTGGTCCTGTAAGATTTGAAAGGAGCTGAAAAATTCCCATGGGTATGGACATTGCAGCCATGCTGGTGCAATGCATTACTCATGTTTTTGTGTGTTACTCACAAGTTTGTGGTGATGCTGGTATAGACAGCTACTGCACTGCCACATAGTCAAGGCCAGAATAGCACTTACAATTACATATCACACATAATACTTGATAATTATGATAATTGACTATGTTATTGGTTTGTGTACTTACTATATTATACTTTTTTTAATTAAATCATAGCTGTGTACATTAATATTATCATGGGGTACAGTGTACTGTTTCTATATACAATTGGAAATACTTTCATCCAGCTGGTTAACACAGCCTTCATGTCTTTTTCTTAGTTATTATGTTATTTATATTCTACATTTAGAGAGACTCACATGTACCCTTATAGGATGAACCATAGGCGTGATCCCACCAGTCCCCCTCCCCCTCACCTCTCCTCCTTCTCCCCTCTTCCCATATTCCTGGGCTCTGTTATACTTTGTAATTGTGAGGTTCAAGTGTACTCCTTTCACTTAGAGATTTAAAAAAGTTAACTTCAATATCACTTCGGGAAAAATTCTAGAGGAAGCCATTTGTTATAGGAGATGACAGCTCCATGTGTGTAACTTCCCCTAAAAACCTTCCAGTGGGACAAGGTGTAGGGGTGGAAGACAGTGGCATTGATGATCCTGACCCTGAGTAGGCCTCGGCTAATGTGTGTGTGTGTCTCAGTGGTTAACCAAAAGTTGAAAGAGTTAAAAAAAACAAAAAACAAAAAACAGTTTAAAAGCAGGAAAAACCTCATAGAATAAGAATGTAAAGAAAAAGTATTTTTGTACAGCTCTATAATGGGTTTGCCTTATAAACTGTGTTATCACAACAGAGTAAAAGGGAGTTAAAAAGGTGAAAATGTCTTTGAAGGAAACAAGTTACTGCTGAATGTAAAAAAAGTTATTACTGAAGAAAGACAAAATTTTAAAATCAATTTAGTCTAGCCTAGGTGCTAAGATTATAGGTATGATCCATCCCCACAGGGACCCTCAAGTGCCCTGGGGGAGGCACACCCTTCCCTCTTGCCCCCATTCCCATAGGCCCCAATAACCACTAGTCTGTTCTCCATTTCTAGAATTTTGTTATTTCAAGAATGTTATGTAAAAAAAACCTCGCCCGGCTTTTTTTTAATCTTTTAGACCAGTGTTTTTCAACTTTTTTTTGTAGTTAAACTTTTACAGTACACTTACATTATGTTGATCCAAAAAAAGAGTAAAACAAAAAGAGAATAGACTTACTGTGCTTTGAACTTCTTTCAAAAGTAATTTAATTAATGATTTAAAAATCTTCTCAGTATGCCTAAGATCTTCTTATAGCGCACACCAGTTGCCTCTTTTTAAGGTACACTGTATAAAATCATTTTTAATTAAACTTTTTATCTCAAGATAATTATAGATTCACATGCAGCTGTAGGGAATAATCCCCAGACAGTCCATGTATCTTGACTCAATATAATATCTTGTAAAACTATAGTACAGTGGCCTAGTCAGATGTCACCATTGCTACAATCAAGATAAAGAACATTTCCATCCCAGGCAGCGCCTGTGGCTCAAGGAGTAGGGCGTGAGCCCCATATACCGGAGGTGGCGGGTTCAAACCCAGCCCTGGCCCCAAACTGCAAAAAAGAAAGAATATTTCCATCCCCACAGGGACCCTCATGTGCCTTCTGGGTGGCACACCCACTCCTCCCCCCACCTTCCATAGGTCCTGGGAACCACTAGTCTGTTCTCCATTTCTATGATTTTTTGTTATTTCAAGAATGTAATGTAAATGGAATCACATAACATTTCAGGATTGGCTTTTTCACTAAGCATAATTCTCTGGAAATTTATCTGGTTGGTCCATGTATCGGTACAGTAAATTCCCCATTACCTAGCACCCACAGGGATTGGCAGATTCTGGATAAATGTAGTTTCTGGTTACTTGAGAGTTACTATTAAAAATAAGCCTATTTCTATACCTCATACTATACCATACCATACCATAAACCAGGCATCCTCAAACTATGGCCCACGGGCCACATGCAGCCCACCTAGGACATTTATCCGGCCCGCTAGGTGTTTTTGCCGCCACTGCCTGTCCTGCTTAGCAGTCGATTTGTCCCCGCAGTCTGGCCCTCCAGTGGTCTGAGGGACAGTGAACTGGCCGCCTGTTTAAAAAGTTTGAGGACCCCTGCATAAACTCTTTATTGACTCCATATGAATATTGAAATACACTAATTAAAAGCAAATTAAGACAAAGATAAACTTCACTTACTGTAATACAGTTTTACTGTATTATAAAACATCTTTGTAAATGCAATTTTAGCTAAATGGCAGTCAATATACTTTTCAATGTCTTTGCCATATTTTTTTAAGTTCAAGTAACTCACATTAACATTTAAAACTGTTACAGAGAAGACCTGGGAGCCCTCGGAGTGATGCACGAAGCAGGGGCTTACTAATGGCAAGGCGCACCAAGTTTAAACTCTGATTTCAGGGGGGAGCCAGGTCACATGCCAGTTGCTTGAGTTCTGGGTAATGGGAGTTTACTATAGTTCATTTCTTTTTCTTTTCTTTCTTTCTTTTTTGTTTTTTGTAGAGACAGAGTCTCACTTTATCGCCCTTGGTAGAGTGCTGTAGCGTCACAGCTCACAGCAACCTCCAGCTCTTGGGCTTAGGCTATTCTCTTGCCTCAGCCTGCCGAATAGTTCGTTTCTTTATATGCTGCTAAGTGGTAGTCAAAGGAGTTCATTATTTTTAATGCCTGGGCCAGATTAGTGGTCTTTAATCTTTGCTCGCCTACCCCTTTCGGAGGTTAGTTAAAGGTTATTAATGCTATACCCGAAACACACACACTTATGAAGGTGTGATGTAATTTCGGAGGGGTGTGGAGGCCAGTCTCAGAGCTGCTTGGTGAGATAGTGACAAAGTCATGGGAGAATGAAGGAGCAATTAACTCCTCGCAGGTGAAGGTCCTAAAGATTTGGAGAGGAAGGTGTAACAGTGGTGGGAGGAGGGTTTCTAGTTAGAAGCAGCTGGGCAGGACCAGCCCCCCCCATGCCCCACTGTCAGCAAAAACCAGATCTTCTGACTTTGAGGTCAGTGGGTCCCTGGCGTCCCAGGAACTTCATCTGTGACCTTGACCCGGGCACCATCTCTTCATTCCCTCCATCATTCCACCCACACAAGTTTGAGCTTCAGTGTTCTCTTTGCCTAAACTCACTTTGGTCTCTCTCTGCTTCCCTAGCAGTCCCTGGCTCAGAGTTCAAGGGACAAAATAAGATTTCTGAACAAGTGCCCTGCAGGACAATCAACCCACCCCTCACCCCGGTCCCAACAGCTACTCCGGTGCCCCGTGGACCAGCCGAGACCACCCCCGACCTCCTCCTCACCAGGGCAGGGCGAGAGTAAGTTGGATGCTGGGACTATCATCATACAGCCGGGACTGTGGTGCCCGGGGTAGATATCCTGAGGCCAGACAGACCTGGGTGCTCTGCCTTGAAGCTCAGGGCGGTTTCAGTGGGACCTCATTGACCTAGATTTCAAGGACAGACACTTCTCCTCAAAGTGGGAAATGACCTAAAGGCTCAGCCCCATCTTACATCTCCCTTCCTAGATGAGTCTGCACTTGCCATCCAGGGATGTGTTTTCTGCAGTTTTTTCATTCATTGTATGAATTAAGAAGCTACTTTGGTTTTTGGTTTTTCAATCCACCTGGAGTTTTTCTACTAAGAAAGTAGCTCCTTACCTGGTTGGACAGAAATGGGCAGATAGGTTAGTCAGTCCTCTCACCTGCCCTTTTGTATTTGCTTCGGGCCAATACTCATTTACCCACCTTTGCTGGGTGGGGTGCCCGTCCCGGTTGCACTGGGGAGCCTGCTTCTCAGTAACCAACCTGAGGCTTCCTTGTCCCATGCAATTACGAGGCTGTCACGTTGCTGATTGCAAAGTCATCTCCAGCTGCTGGTGTTTGGATTCCTGGTCTGAGTTTTATTCGTCTTCCTCTGCAGCCTTCCATGTAGGAAGGAGAGGCTTATTTGTCTGTTTCAGATCCTGGGAACATAATAATGCACAAGACCCTGTCCTTGGCATCATGAAGCCACAGACAAATAAACAGGCATTGCACCCCCAGTGTAATAAGTACAGTGATGGCAGAAGTCCTAAGAGCTGTGGGAATGCAGAAAATGGGCATCTAGCTTAGCTCAAGGCCTCAGGGAAGACTTCCTGAAGGAAGCGGTAGCTCAGCTAAGATCAGAAGGAAGAGAGGTGGAAGAGTATCTTCAGCAGAGGGAACGGCATGTGCAAAGGCTGAAGAGATGAGAAAGTGGCTGTCACCTTTGTGGAGCCAGATATTCTTTACGGCTGGATTCTGGAATATGATGCAGGAGAGTGTGGGTTGCTTTGCTTAAAAGCAAAGGGGTAGGCAGGGAGACCTGGGGGAGATCTTACCGGGCCTTAAAGGCCACAGTGAGAAGTTTAGACGGGGGCTCACCTCCAAAGAGTCATTCACTGAATCGTCTACATCATGAGGACAGCCAGGGGTATTTTAAGCAGGGGAGTGGCAGAGTCCGATGGATGGTGTAGAGAGTTCTCTGGCTGCTAGGAAGGTGAGAACAGGGGCTGAGACACTGCTAAGAAGGCTGCCTCAGCCAGGAGAGAGGTGGTAGGGCCTGGGCTCTCGGGGGGACCCCTCAGGAAGGGAAGGAGGGATAACTCAAAAGAGATATTTAGGCCACTGGGCCCACAGGACTCGGTAGCTGATTAATATATCAGGAGGTGTTTAGGGAAGAAGAGTCTAGAATGACACATTTCTGACTGGCCGGTCGGTTGGATACTGATACCTTGCATGGAGATGGGAAAGTAAATTTGCAGAGAGAGATGAGTTTTCAGTGCCAGTCAGCATCCAGCAACTAAGGGGTTAAGTTGGGAAGCCTGAGCTCTTGCTAGAAACAGCCAGAGGGGAAGTGACTCCCCAGCCTCAGGCCTAACACACCTTCCTCCAGGCTTTCTGACAGGGAGCCAGAGCCTCCCTTCAGGGGTTAACTAGGGACTGAGCTCTCAGGCTGTGGCCCTCCTGGTTTGCTGTGGAAACCCAGTCTCCTGGGAGATTGCCAAGGGAACCTACTGCCTTTGGACGCACAGTGCTGGGACAAAGCCTGTAAGAGGTCTCCCCTCCTTCTGGCACACTCACCAGAGAGTTTATGTTTGCCTGAGGTGGCACCAGGAGACACTCACCCGCAAGTCCAGGGTTCACCAGGCAAGCACCGACCCCGAGGAGAGCCTCGCCCGGAAGCCAGCCCAGGAGTAGATGTAGAGCCCACAGCAGCCAGCAGGACAGCCATGCCCATTACGTACTCTGCCGCTGCTCCGTGTGTAGGGGTCTCGTGGAAAGGGGATCTGGGTGGGATTGTCTGCCACAGTGCCAGCCATGCCCAGGGAGCAGGCCCCCGGCAGTGCGGGGACCGATTGGAGAGAAATGCAAACGGGATTTGTTCCACAGATGCTCGTGGCTAGAGACTGGGCTGTGTTTGGGGGGTTTCACCCAGACCTTGCAGACAGCATCCTGCCAAGGACCCTCCTTATCCTCTCCCTGCATACGGTACTCTACTCCCTCTTGAAGCCTGGATCTGGTTGTGTGATATTGCCTGAGCACCTGTGAGGTGTAGGGCCTCGGGCTCTGAGATGAGGAAGGCTGCTTCCGGCTGCCTGCCAGGGGCTCCGTGTCCAGGTGGGACACAGGTGGTGGGCATCATCTTCCAGGTGTGAGAGATGGGCTTGAACAGTGGCAGGAAACTTCTCTGTGCAACCCAGAGGGAGCCACTGAGCAAGGGAAGGAGGAGCCAGGCCTGGGACAGAGAGCCAGGGTTGAAATTCTAAAACAGAACCTCAGCCAGGACCCTCTTTCTTCAGCACCCTCTTTTCTATCTTAAGAATTTCTCACTGGTGTTTCTGAATAGGGATTCAGACCCTGTGTGTTAGAAAGGTTCTGTTTTGTTCCCCAAACACACAGGGACATAAATTCAGAAAGGTTTCGAGATGTGTAGCAAGAAAAGGGATGCACAGGGAACTTCCAGAATCATGTGGCAGCAGAGCTGGACCCCATACCTACTGGGAAGGGACAAAGGCCACTGCATCTGGGTACATTTTGGGGGGGTTGCTTCAGCTCTGTTCCTCATACATCTGTTCTCATTTCTGTCTCCACCCCAACTCCAGCCAGGCCATCCGTGAACTGCAAGAAGAGGTGTCTCGGCTCCGTCTGCGGCTGGAGGACAGCCTGCACCGGCCGCACCAGCGCAGCTCTGCACACTCGGCATCTGCTGTTGACCGCCCCACCCAGACCCGGGACCGGCCAGCAGATTCCTTAACCTCCTGGAGTTCCCACTATGGCAGGTGGGTGACCCCCAATCTCTCATCTCTCTGCCCTAGTGGCAGCCTCAGAAGGTGGGCTTGGCCTCTGGCTCTCCCAGACATGTGGACTAGTCACTGCCACATTCCTCTCTCGCTCATCCATGCTTTCATTCACTCTTACATTTGTTCACTATCTTATTTGACAGATGAGGAAACTGAGGGTCAGAGAGGGTCAGAGCCATCTCCTGTGAGAGTGACTCCAGAGTCTTTGGTTTTGGCTTCTGTGATCTCTTCCATTGTGTTATAAACATTTCTCCAGGCTGACCTTCTCATGGGTCATCCTTAAAGGCTGCGTAAAACCTCACACAGCAATCCTATCCCTCTTTCCTTTTGCTAGTAAATCCACAGAGAGGTTGTCTGGTGAGCCTGGAGGTGAAGAACAGACTATCTCCTCAGGAAGGCAGCGACCCAGGTCCTCCTCAGTGCCTCGGGAGGTGCCCCGACTATCCCTGAGTAAGTGACCACTTTCCAGGAACAATTTCTGGAGGCCAGTCTGAGCACATTGGCTCAATGATCAGGGACCACAGCAATAGAGTTCAAGGCAGCTCGGAGGTTTTGAGTACATCTGTTTTAGGCTATTTGGGTGCTCTGAAGTACAGGGCACTGCTAAGGTACTGCACACCTGCTGTGTGTAGGGTGTCTGTAAGGGCTTTGTAAAATATCATCCTTGCAAGATGATCATATTTATTCATATTCTGCAGATAAGGATGCGAAGCCAAGGGAGCACAAGGGACATGCCTGCAGGGTCATAGCTCTGGAGTTAGTAGCTGGGATTAAACCCCAGCTCACCTCCACTCGTCCTTAGCCACATTGTTTACCTACTTGAGCAGTTAAAGGGACAGTAACTGGGTAGTGATAACAGTGTCCTCCTGGCAGGATTTCTCTGCACAGGTGCGTGACACAGCACACCCAGACTATCCAGGCTAGCGTTTAGCATGGGGTCAGGGTTCTGACATCAGCTCTTCTGACTAAGGGGCAGATCAGGAATTAAAGTTCAGGCACCTGCCCCAGAGCCTAAACTCTTGATACATCCACTCCTCAAGTTGTGTGGCCCCACCCCTGCACCCTCTGATGGCCCTGTCTTTGCACTCAGGTTCAGAATCCGAGCCACCCTCCCCCCGACTGTGCTCTGAGAAGAGCAGGACCAGCCAGGACAGTCCACGGGCAGCTCAGGATGGAAAGAGTGGGATGGGGAGCACCAGACGTTCAGATAGAGTCACCTTCCGGGGCCAGTACACAGGTAGGTCTCCAGCGAGGGAGGGCCAGGGTAAGAGCTGTCCCCAGGGTGGTCTCCTCTATTATGAAAAGCCTTTTCTGTTTACCAGTGAGCTGTTCAAATATTAACATTTTCTATGCATTCTGTGATATGAAAACCAGCAGGGAGCATCGCCTCCATGAATCTCAGTGTGTTCATTCATTCATTCATTTAGCAGTTTCTGATGCCTCCCCACTGCCAGAGTGCACGTTTGGTTCTGGGAAGCCGGTCCATCATAAAGAGGTTTATGGTCACCTTCTCTTTGCCAGGCCAGATGTACAGGGTGAACACTGAGTCATGTGTCATTTACACCTGGTTTTCGTCCAGGTTCTGATGCCCTGAGGGACCTTTCTATCTCATGAACTAGAGACCTGGCACAGAGGAAAACTTGAGATGACACACAGGTGCTAGTGGTGACTGACACCTGTAGTCCCAGGACTTTGGAAGGCTGAGCCAGGAGAATTGTCTGAAGCCAGGCCAGTTCAAGACTAACCTGGGCAACACAGTGAAACCCCATCTTTACAAAAAAAATGAGAAAAATTAGCTACTCAGGAGGCTGGGGCGGGAGGGTCGCTTGAGCCCAGGGGTTCAAGGCTTCAATGAGATATGATGATGCCACTGCACTCTAGCCAAGGTGACAGAGGGAAACCCTATCTCTAAACAAAATAAATAAATTTAAAAAATGGTTTTTTTTAAGAAGAGATGACATGTAGTATTTTCTTTCTTCTTTTTTTTTTTAAAGCAAAGTCTTACTTTGTCGCCCTCAGTAGAGTGCCATAAAGCCTCATAGCTCATAGCAACCTCAAACTCTTGGACTCAGTGATTTTCTTGCCTCAACCTCCTGAGTTGCTGGGACTATAGGCGCCTGCCACAATGCCCGGCTATTTTTGGAAACAGAGTTTCACGGTTGCTCAGGTTGGTATGGAACTCCGGAGCTCAAGTTATCTGCCTGCCTTGGCCTCCCAGAGTGCTAAGATTACAGGCATGAGCCATTGTGCCCAGCCCCTGACATGCAGTATTTCAAAAGCTTAATGTTAAAACAATATATATGGATATGGTTCCCACCTTCATAAATCTGACTACGTAGCAGAAAAGACAATAACAAATGAGCGATTACAGTGACGTATCTGTCACTGATATCTGGCTGAGTGGGGAGGACCACCCACATCAGTTACCAGGGATGAGGCAGAAAGCCAGAAGCACACTGAGGAATTAGAAATAAGAGTGTCAGGAAGTCCGGGGACTTCCAGTGCTACCTACACAGTGTGAATTATGAGCCCCCACAATACAGAGGGAACCACACAGGGTGGGGAGAAGTTGAGCCTGTCTGTCTACAGTGGCTTCAGGTGACATCCCAAAGGTCTTATCTGAGATGTGGGGTGGCTAATGCAGGCAATGGGAGGACCAGCTTCCTAGTGACACTGAGTGCTTCCATCCACCAGCCAGTGGGCGGAGAACCTCACCCATGCGGCCCTGTTTAGTCCTCCCAGACCATGACGCTGGTGCTATGATTACCCCCACTCCACAGCCACTCCACAGGGGGAGAAAATGCCACTGACCCCATGCCCAAGCCTTCAGGTCAGGGTCAGGAAGTCTCATCACCTATTTCTTCCTGGCCACTCTCAAATCCTGACTGACTTGGGCTCCTTGGTCGCTATGCATGTCAGGAGCTGGGAGCTGAAATGAAGCAGAGTAGGAGTCTAGAGAGAGCTTACAGTAAAGGATTTTAAAATGCGTGTTGAAGACCGGGCACGGTGGCTCACACCTGTAATCCCAGCAGCACTCTGGAGGCCGAGGCAGGTGGATTACTTGAGCCTACAAGATTGAGATCATCCTGTGCAAAAGCAAGACCCTGTCTCTAAAAATAGCCAGGCATTGTGGTGGACTCTTATAGTCCCAGCTACTTGGGAGGCTGAAGCAACAGAATCACTTGAGCCCAAGAGTTTGAGGTTGCTGTGAGATGTGACATCACGGCACTCTACTAAGGGTGACAACGTGAGACTCTGTCTTAAAAATAAAATAAAATAGGGTGGCACTTGTGGCTCAAGGAGTAGGGTGCCAGCCCCATATGCTGGAGGTGGTGGGTTCAAACGCAGCCCTGGCCAAAAACTGCAATAAATAAATAAATAAAATAAAGTAAAATAAAATAAAATAAAATGTGCATTGATACATAGGTGGATATGTATGTACATGTTTATACATGTACATATTTGTGCATATACAAGAGACAGAGAGAGACTATTAAAACCATTTGGAGGAAGAGGAAAGAAGTCATCATACCAGAATCCTCCCCAATGGAGAAGGCTGATACTGATTCTTTTGGTCTCTTTCCCAGGCCAGGAGTACCATCTTCCATCCCCTAATACTGTCCCCAAAGGCAATAGCACAGTCTCCTGTCCCCAGTGCCAGCCCATTCGGACCCAGGATGCAGGTGAGGCATGGTGCCAGGGAAACTGGCCAGGGCGGCCATGGCTGCAGCTTCTTGCTCTCAGGGCAGTGTGTGGCTGGGCCAGATGCGGGTTGTAGGTGGGTTGTCGGCACACATGAGGAAGCAGAATTGCCTGGGTGGCCTGCAATCACACCTGTTGCTCCAGATGCTGCTGCCAATGCCATCTTCCTTGATTTCAGAGGTTTCTGAAGGTTCAGGATAGATGCACTCCTGGCAGCAGGGGAGCTGGCTGCAGTGATTGCATCTTATCTCCCCTCCATCCTCTGTTCATCCTGTTCCTCAAACCCTGCACGGAGGCATAGTGGGGAAAGCAGTGGCCTGAGAATCTGGGCACTGGATTCTAGTTCCAGCTCCACCACTGCCTTGCTGTGTGACATGAGGACAGTTCCTTGACTTCTCTGAGCCTCAAGTTCTATGCCCACAATGGAGGAGATAGCCTCTGAAGTCTATTTAGGCAATGATCATGACTCATGATAATGAGCTGCCATTATTAAGCCCCTGCTGCAGAAAAGGCATCATGCCAAGAGTTTTACATACATAATCCTCACAATCCTATAAAGTAATACAGTACTATTATATCCATTTTACAGGTGAGGACACTGAGGCTCAGAGAGATTAAGTAACTTGTCCAAGGGCACACAGCCTATACATGGTAGACACAGGATTTGAACTCAGGTATTTCTGTCTCCAGAGTCACTTTACCACCATGTTTTTCTGCCTTTGCTAGAATTGAAGTCCCAGCAGGCCTCTCTGTTCATTCATTCATTCATGCAGCACCTACCCATACCAGGCCCTGAGACCTATTCCCAAGGAATATATGACAAAGCAGAGTGGTCAGAGCTGGGGTAGGGGAGCATGGGTTGGGCTGAGGGTATATGACAGCTTCGGTGGGATAGCTGAGCTGAGGCCTGGAAGAGAAACAGAGCAGCTCTGGAACTTACTCAGACACAGCACTGGGGATTTGTGTGGGAAGAGAGCAATAGTGCCCACTCTCCTCCTGCTCTCTTAGGGCTCCGCTGACTCCCTGGCTCCCCAGAGGGCTGTTTTGGGCTGTTCGCACGTGGAGAATGGGTCTGTTTCACTGGGGCTGAATGAGGGCTGCAGTTGGGAGGGCCCAGGCTTGGGACCCGAGGACCACCACTCCCCAGCTCTGAGACCTTGGCAAGTTATTCACCCCTTCCGCACCTGGGTCTCCTAGCGCTGCACTGGGGGAGTGAGGATAATAGCTAGCCCAGTGGCTTGTTTCATTTGATAAAACAAAGCAGGAGGCCCTCAGCAGAGTGAGTGCTTGCTCTCAATGCCGTGATTGATTGTGACATGGTCGTCACCCACACAGGTGGCTTGTCTCCTCTGCAGCAGATCCTGCAGAAAGCTCAGTGCAACAGAAGGTCTATGAATTAGACACAGTGCCTGTCTTGACATCTGTCCCTCCTCTTCCAGTTGGTGCTGCCACCAGGGACCCACTGGGACCAGCTCCCACTGCTGCCCTTTGCTGTCCCCTGTGTGGTCGAGCCGGACCCACCCCAGATAGCGCAAGCCCTGCCACCTCTGGTAGGAAAGGATGAACCGTTTCTTTCCAGCTAGACCCTTAGCTCTCTTTGACCAGGGTTTGGGGACCTGGGTGAGTTTAGCTGGAGTGACAAGTCTGTCCAGTCTGGAAGCAGAACAGTTGGGGCAGAAGATTGGTTTCCCCAACAGTGATGCTCCCCAGAGTGGTCAGCCTAGGGTCCAGCTCTCCCAGGGGAGGGGGTGCTTTAGGCCCTCTAAGCTCAGCTGGGTCTTCCCAAATGGTCAGACTCTCGTTCTGTGGTGTCCCTCCCTGACAGGTTCAGAGAAGGCAGCCACAAGGAAAAATGCACCTGCAACTTCCAGCCTCAAGAGGAGGAGCAAGCAGACAGGGTCGCCGCCCTGGCCACCCCCTGGGCTGTGGTACCTGGCAGCCGCGCCCTCATCACCAGCCCCTCCGGCCTTTGCCTACATCTCCTCGGTTCCCGTCATGCCTTATCCATCAGCCACTGTGTAAGAACTTTTCCTTCCAACCTTCTTAACCCCTTTTTCGGGATTTCAGAATACATTAACTTTCAGACCTGTGTTGGACGGCTGATATCCCAGATGCCATGTGGTCCTGTGTTTATCCCAACGAGGACAATGCACAGGACAAGCCCAACACTCACGTATTACTCAACAAACCCATGTACCAAGGAGACCGCCCAGCCCCTGGGACCCAGTGGTGAATGGGACAGGCAAGGGGCTCTGCCCTCTGGGAGGTGAAAGCTTCGTGGGGACCGAGAATCCTATCTTCTAGTTCCATGTGGATCTTCTTAGCATGCAAGTGATGAGTGCTCACTTTTTAAAAATAGACTTTATTTCTTAGAGTAGTTTTATAGATATACAGAAGAATTGAGCAGATAACAGAGAGAGATCCCACATACTCCCACCCCTGCACACACAGCTCCCCATAGTAACGTCTTACGTTAACTGGCACACTGGCCACTATTAGCGAGCCAGCACGAATGTGTTATTATAGCGAACATCCATAGTTTATTCAGGTCTCCTCAGTTTTTATCAAAGTCTTTTCTCTCTTCCAGAATCCCACACCACATGGCCATCCCCCTGTAGGCTCCTCATGGCTATGAAAGTTTCTCTTAGGCTCGGCGCTCATAGCATAGTAGTTATGGCTCCAGCCACATACACCCAGGCTGGTGGGTTCAAATCCAGCCCGGGCCTGCTAACCAACAATAACAACAACAACAACAACAATAACAAAAAATAGCTGGGCATTGTGGTGGGCACCTGTAGTCCCAACTACTTGGGAGGCTGAGGCAAGAGAATCGCATAAGCCCAAGAGTTGGAGGTTGCTATGAGTTGTGATGCCACGGCACTCTACTGAGGGTGACATAGTGAGACTGTCTCAAAAAAACCAACCAAACAAACAAATAAACAACAAAAAAAGAAAGTTTCTCTCAGACTTTCCTTGGTTTTAATGGCAATTTTGAAGAGTCTTGGTCAGGTATATTATGGGACTTTCTACACAGATTTTAGATGTAATGTCAGTGAAGGCAGGAAAGATTTGGCAGTCAAATCTGACTGAGGTTTAGAGTCAGACAGAGATTCATTGGAATCCCATGCAGCCCTTGTTAGCACTATGACCTTGGCACAGCTAGTTCTCTCTGAGCCTTAACTTCCCCATCTGTTAAATGGACAAATGGTGTCAATTGTGTACAATTGTGTGAGGATTAAGTGAGGCATGTGGCAAGAACCAAATGAGATATCTGTGCATTTAGTAGCACAGTGCAGGCTAAACAAACGAAAGCTTCACCATTGCAGGGAATATTGTTACTACTCAATATTTTCACTAGAGAGAAGAAAAACAAGTAAAAGTGGGTTCAACGTGACACAATTGTGTAAGGGGAAAAGGCCTGGAACTTGGAGTTAGGAGTCTTATCTTCTTATCCCAACTGTTACCAGCTAATTCTCTTCCTCAGTTCCCCTTGTGAAATGAGTCGACTGGGACTCAGTGTAATCCACTAGCTGTGTTGTCAGCAGCCATGTCTGTGGGAATGAGGGCCAGTCACTGGGAGGCAGGCGCTGGTGGGAATAGGGCCAAGGCACCATGCAGGCCTGCTTGTCCTCTGGGGCCAGGGCTATAAATGCAGGCTCTTCTGACCTCTCAGCTGAGTCTAGGCAAGTCATTAAGGAACTTTCTGCCCCAGCAGTGATGAGAGCCCATGCTGACTGTTCAGGCCTCCGGCAGGTGTGGGTAAAAACACCTGCCCATGTTCCAACTCACTGGGCCGGAAAGGTTTTGCCTAGAATTCAGTGTCCCCATGGTAGCCGTGGGGTCTCTTTACTTCTCAGTCCCTTACAATCTCACACCTTTAGGCAGAACTAACTAGGTTGCTGTCCCCAGGTCTGGGACATAGGAAAGGGGAAAGGCTTGGTTTGAGTGGCCAGTAGTAGCCATATAACCCTAGGCAAGTCACTTCACTCCTTTATGCCTCAGTTTTCTCTTCTGTGGAATGGGTTGTGGTGAGGAATAAATGAATTAATGCATGGAAAGCCTACGGTGAGGACAGGTGCAGTAGCTCATGCCTGTAATCCTATCACTCTAAGGACAAGGCAGGTAGATCACCTGAGCTCAGGAGTTTTAGACCCAGCCCGAGTAAGAGCGAAACCCTGTTTCTGCTAAAAATAGAAAAATTAGCCAGGTGTTGTGGCAGGTGCCTGTAGTCCCAGCTACTTGGACGGCTGAGGCAAGAGAATCACTTAGCCCAGTGGTTTTCAGCCTTCCTAATGCCACGGCCCTTTAATACAGTTGCACAGGTTGAGAACTGCTGACCTAGCCCAAGAGTTTGAAGTTGCTGTGAGTTATGACACCATGGCATTCTACCAAGGGCGACAAAGTCAAACTCTGTCTCAAAAAAAAAAGAAAGCCTAGGGTGGCCAGTAACCACCGTGCTTCTAAAACTGCTAGAATTTGGAGCATGCTCAGTGGCTGAGGCTCGCACACACTTCAGAAAGCTGAACAGGCCTCTGCTGCCCCTGCTGGCCAGCTGCCCTGTGGTCTCTACCGCGGGACTTTCTAGCCCAGAGGGATTTTTTTGCAGCTTCTGCCCTAGGGGGAGTTTTGAGTAACTTTCTGGCCAAGCTGGTCATCAAATTAACAGAATGTGGGGTTGTATGGAAACCCAGTACAGATGGTTGTCTGACTTATGATTTTTTTCAACTTTACGATGGGTTTATAGGGACTAACTCCATTGTAATCAGAGAGCATCTGTAGTTACACCAGATGGTTCCTCAAGGAGGGAATGTGGGCGGCTGTTTATTGGATTCAGGGAGCCCATTCACTCAGTTGCGGTGACATTTGTCAGCACCCACTGTGTGCTGATCACACGTTAGAGATGCAGGGGAGAGGCAGGTCTGGGTGTGACCCCGTTGCTGCCTATCCAGCTCTCTGACCCTGGGCCTTGGAGATCATATTTATGGAGCACTGATGAGGGCCAGGCAGTGCAGACCTCTTCACCAGAATTATCCCACTGGTTCTTCGCAGGGAGGTAGGTAAAATGGAGGCCTTGGAAAGTGACTTAGCTTGCCCAGGGTCTACAGCTGGTCCAGCAGAGTGACTGGGATTTGGGGCAGGCCTTCAGGACCTAAACTGGTAAGGCCAGTGCATTATACTGCTTCCTGAATCCTGTAGCTTTTGTGAGTTCCACTGTGCTTATCTGCAAAATAAAGATAGTGGCACCAACTAGTGCATGGGCACCACAGAAAAGGATGTCAGCCCCAGGCAAGGCACAGGGTTAACTGTTGGAGGAACTGCCGGACCGTTTTCCAAAGCGACTGCCCCACTTAACATTCCCACCAGCAGTACATGAAGGTTCCAGTCTCCACATCCTTGGCAACAATTGCTGCTGTCTTTTCTGCTTTTATGCATGCATGTATGTATTTATTTAGAGACAGAGTTTCACTCTGTCACCCTGGGTAGAGTGCCATGGCATCATAGCTCACAGCAACTTTAAATTCTTGGGCTTGACTGATCCTCTTGCCTCAGCCTCCTAAGTAGCTGGGACTATAGGCATGTACCACCACGCCCAGCTAAGTATTTGTATTTTTAGTAGAGATAGGGTCTCACTCTTGCTCAGGCTGGTCTCCAACTCCTGAGCTGAAGCAATCCACCCACCTTGGCCTCCCAGTGTGTTAGGATTACAGGTGTGAGCCACCACATCGGGCCTGTCTTTTTTGCATCTTGAGGGTGGGGGTGAGGTGTGGGAAGTGGCATCTCATGTGATTCTGACTTGCATTTTCCTGATGGCAATGATGTGTGTCTTTTCACCTGCTTGTTTACCATCTGCATATTTTCTTTGGAGAAAGGTCTTTTCGGATTTTAGCCAATAGATTTTTACACACTGTACAATAATGCAAAGTAAAATGTGGGGGCTCAGAATGAGACTAGAGGCTACAGTGTGCCAAGCCAGATGCCAGTGACTGACTCTGCTAGGTCCTCCTAAACACATTCCTGCTTTATTTAGGCAAATACTGCCTCATTCCCCACTCTCCCCACCACACACACTTTATTCAACAACACACAGGCCACACCCCCGTCTTGCCCAGTGCTGGTTTCTTTGAACCCTAAATGTAGTAGCCCTGATGTATGAGGTAGTCACTTCCTAAGGAAATTTGGGCTTCATCTCATGACTTGTCAGTGCATTCCCCCAGCACTTTAAAACAGACCCCATATTCCTACAGACCCTATATTCCTGCTGGCCCAGACTGGAAATGACACCCTTCCACATAGTACCCTGGATAAATGGAACCAGACCCTCCCACTCTTGCAGAATCCTAATAACATTACCTTTCTCCAGCAGCCCACACTTGGCAAATGGGACTCCCATATTGCCTCTCCAGTGTAGGGGCCTTTTGTTTGTTTGTTTGTTTTGTTTTGAGACAGAGTCTTACTCTGTCACCCAGGGTTGAGTGTCATGGAGTATAGCCTACAGCAACCTCAGACTCCTATGCTCAAGAGATCCTCTTGCCTCAGCCTCTGGAGTAGCTGGGACTACAGGCACCCACCACAATGCCTGGCTAGTTTTTCTATTTTTAGTAGAGACAGGGTCTAGCTCTTGCTCGGGTTGGTCTCAAACTCCTGAGCTAAAGCAATTCACCTGCCTTGGCCTCCCAGAGTGCTAGGATTACAGGTGTGAGTCACCGTGCCTGGCCAAGTAAAGGGCTTTTCTACTAAGCCTGGGGTGTCCTGGGCTCTCTGAGATCTGGCTTCTGATTAGCTGCAGGGGTCCATGTTTGCCTATTTCCTTGCCTTCCCAGAACCCAGCACACTGGCTGGCAGATAGGCTGAGCCAACTGTCCTGAAACACTTGTTCTGGGTCAGGAACTCATGTGTATGCCTCTCCTTTGCCTTTCCAGCAAATCCCTTGATGTGTGCTTATTATTCCCATTTTAGAGGTAAAGAAACTGAGACCTAGAGAACCAGGGCCAACGGCCCAGCTGGGGCCATACCCCAGCTCTTCTGGGGGTAGTGACATGCTTACTTCTCTCCTCAGGTACTATGCAGCCGCAGGACCTACCTCAGCCCCCTCAGCCTCATCCCGGCCAGCCCGAGAACACCAGCGCTCCATCCAGCTTGATGACCTGGAGGACCTCAACAGGGCTCTGGGCCAGGCCATCCAGGCTGCTGAAAGCGTCCGCTCTGCCACCAAGCAGATGAGCCGCTCGCTGTCTGCCAACCTGCGCCAGGCTCGCAGCCCCCGGCGTTCCTGTCTCTTCTGACTCACTGGAGGCCCAGGGACAGATGGCTGGGCAGAGGACCAGGAGGCGGCCAGAGCCACTGAGGCCCAGCAGGCCGCATTGTTCCTTACCAGGGGTGTCTCCCTCCAGCACAGGCCTGGTCTGCTCAGTCCCAGTGTCTGAGTGGAGAGGGTGTCACCTGGTCACCAAAAGTGACTTGCTAGAGCCACAAGTTCCCCTGGCGGAGACACTGGCACCAAGCCTACCCTCAGCCCAGATGGTCCCTCTGGCAGTCTCATCTAGTCCTGTTCTTGTTCCCCTCAGCTAATAATAGGCATTTTATACAGATGGACATATTTGTTTTAAAATGGGGAATTTTCCTGATCTTGGACCCTCCGTAGGAGGGCAGATAAGAAAGGAAAGGTCCAGAGTTTGGGAGCTAACTGTCCCTTGCCTGGGACAGCCACTCTGGGCAGGCATCTCTGGGAAGGGCGTGGCTAAGGACCTTTCTCCTAGTGACTGGTGGTATTTTTTTTTAGTGGGGCATTTTAGGATGTCAGGGTCCCAGTGTGGCACATGCCTGGCTTCTCCACGATGGCAGAGAGCTTTCCTGCAGGCCTGCTGGGACGGGGATAGGCTAAAGAGGGCCCTCTCAGTACCTCAACCCAAGGCCCCGCCCTCCCCCACCCCCCAGGTTGAAGTGGCATTGTTAGTGGCCAGCTACCTGCGAGGCACGGTCTGAGGCCATGAGGCCAGGCCGCCTCCTGCTCCCCACCCCGTCGCAGCACGTACCTCAGCATTTCTGGAATGTGTGTGCACCAATGATATTTGTATATTTGAGGCATTTAAAAATCTATTTTCGTTACAAGAACAAATGAAGAAGAATGAATATTGATCTTTTTTAAAAAAGAAGGGGGCAAAAAGAAAAAAATACCCAAAGCTGTTCACGGCTGTGGTGTGTGTCATTAGCTTTTGATTTCTGAAGTCAAGTTTGTGGGGTGGATGATTTGATCCCACGAGGGACCTATCAGAGGATCTGCCTGCCTCCCTCTGGTGACTTCTGTTTCTCCAGCTTTCCGTCTGCCTACCTATCTCAGAACCATACATCTTCTGACTGGAGAGTCCTGCAAGGAGGGGCTGTCTGGAAAAGCCCCTTTTCATTGAGGCCAGAGATATCATGAGACCCGCAGCTTAGTGTCCACAAGAGCATATGCCTGGACTCTCTTTCCAGTGCTCCTTTCAATAATGAACAACAGCTGCCATTTACTGAGCACCTGCCAGACCTGGATCCCTGCACAAAGCACTCAGCAAGTCCTGCTCCACACAGTCCACCGCCAGACTCCCGCTGTGTCCCCATTTCACGGAGGAGAGGGAGGTTCCACCGGGCCCTCTGCTCAAGCTTGCTTCCAGAGAGAGCCTGAGTTTTTGGCTCCTAAGCTCACACTGGGCACAGCTTTTGCTCTCCAACTCCTTTTTCCTCCTCTCTTGGCTGTTTCTTCCATCTCCACCTCTCCTCTCCCTTCTCCCCGCCTACCGCAACTCATTTCTAGTTTATTTTTCAGCGGATCCCCTTCAATCTAGCTGAAAGTCAAAGTGAAATGGAAAGATTTCTTGTCACTTCTGGGCCTTAGGTCCATGCCCTTCTGGGTGCCCATGGGCCGTTCCTTGTGCTTATGTTCTGAGAAAATCAGGACATCAGCCCACAGCCCAGGGCCGTGTCCCAGCCTCAGTGCTGTGGCCACAACAGCAGCCCCAGGCATTGAACAAAGAGCGCTGGAGTTTTGTACCTATAGAGCTCGGCTCTTGGGAGTGGGGCAAGAAGGTAGTTGGTGTTTGAGGACTGGGGCGGGACACTGGGCTCATGGTCCTGTCTCTCTAGACAGCATACGTAGCTGCACGCATGCAGAACCACGTGAACAATTCAACCCCTACTTTCCCGCCCCTCCTATAGTGCCGCCTCCCTCACGTGACAAGAGGATGTTGATCATGGACCCCTCTGATGTGGTGGAGGCCGCCCTCCCTTGCTCGTGCCACTCCATCTCAAGGGCTCCAGGCACATTGGCAGATAAGATGTCAGCGGGTTTCTAGGGACCAACTTCACCCCTACATGTGTATTGTTTCCCAGGTTTATCAGCAGGGCTCCTTGAGGACAAGCCCACAGACACGCCAGACCCTCTGGCCTAAGCCCCAAGTCCTCTGAGTCACCCATGTCTTGCCCTGCCTGCCCTGGCCCAGGCAGTCCCCCTTGCTGGGATGCCCAAAGCAGCCTTCCTGCTCCAGCCTGTCCCCACCCCCCTCACCTCCCCAGATGGCCACAGTGACACTGGCACCGCATGCCAATCCTCCCCACCCGTGTCCACTCCCCCTGACTGTCCTACGAAGCTGACTGCCTCCACTCAGCTTTCCTCAAATATGTCCTCTTGCATCCTTGATTGCAGCAGGAACAGTAAGTGGGGTTTTTTTTAATGACTAAAGTTGTATTATAATTTTTTCTGTAGGAGATTAAGGTCTTAACAATAGTCTCAGTTTAGAAATCCACTTTGAGAAGCTTTTATTTCAAATCGATACGCAATATACACGTGCATGGGGCGCAGTGTGCTGCTGAGTGTTCCCAGCACAGAGCAATGAGGAGTGTTGGAGGGGAAGGATGCGTCCATTAACATGCACTTTGATCGGACACATTGTGTTCAGGAGCAGCAGGTTCATCGGCTCCTCCTCTCTCTAGACTGGTTCAGGTGCCCCTTCCAGGAAGACTTCCCAGACTTCCCCATTCTTAAGGAACCATCCCTTTGCTGGGCTACCACAGTACATGGTGCCTGTCACTGTCCACCCCATGTGCTGGGTATTACAGGAGAGGCTCTTCCAACCAGGAATACGGTCTTACCCATCTCCCAGCAGCACTCAACTCAGTGCAGGCTTCAATGTGAATGAATGAATGAATGAGCAAATGAATACATGGCTAACAACCCGGCTATTCCAATGCAGATGTTTTATTGATGCAAGTGGGGGGAAGAAATGAGTTAGGAAGGGCGGGCTGCATCCCCGAGGTCCTGCCCCGAGGCTGTGTCCTCCTTGGAGTCCTTTTCCTTCCTCCTCTCCTCCTCCTCCTTCTTGTGCTGCTTCTCCAGTGGCTCACACGCATCCTGGAAGGTAGTGGGGGGTGGAGGACAAAGTGATGGGGAAAGGTAGGAGCCTTCTAGGGGGAGGGGTGGAAAGCACTCTGGCCTGGGGAACCAGCCCAACTTGGGCCCACAGCCTTGGCTCTGCCACTTCCCAGGTGGGTGACCTTGGGCAAATAATTTCCCTCTCTGAGCCTCAGCTTATCACCTCTAAAATAGGGGCTCAGACCCTTAAAACCAACTGGCACTTACTAAGCACTTTATGACCTGCCAGGCCCTTACACTGCCACTCCTGGGCCCCTTACTACTACCCCCACTTCTCAGATAATGTCCCTGAGGCTCAGGGCAGCCATGTGACCCACCTGAGGCCCCATAGAAGGTCAATGGGGGCACAGGCTGTAGGCCAGGTGAGCTGACCCCAGTGGCTGTGTTCATAAGCCCTTTCCCAGGCACTTGGGGCCAGGGATGGAGGGACAGTTGACACCACCGGTGGTCATGGGAGATAACCTCAGGTGGCAAATGAATAGGGAGACATTTTTATTTTAATAGTTATGAAAGTATTTCACATTTATCAGAATAAAAGTATAACCAGCTCATCAGCTCTGCACATATTACGGCAGAGGATACCACCAAGGAAAGCCTTTCATCTAACTGAGGTTTAAAGAAAAGTTTTAAGAAGATCATCATGCAGGTAATTCTCATTTATAGCAATAACCGAGGTGTGGTCCTGGACTTGGGGCAGTTTGGATGACACTGAAAACCACAGTACCAATTCCCTGTCGCACAGGTATTACAAATGAGGGGGGCGGATAGTGACTCCCACGTGTCTCTCCGCCCATTTTCGCCGCCCCCCAGCTCATGCTGCTTCTTAGTGCCCCACCTGCTGCAGTGTCCTGCCCACTTTTGCAGGGACTTTTTCCTCCTGGGCTCTCATCCACCACCCCTGGGAACTCTGTGCAGCTCAGCTGGGGTGAGGCAGGTACTTAAAAGCAGACCTGCCTTGTTGTGTGGCCTTGGCTGGCAGCTTTCCCTCTCTGGGCCTCTTGTGTTGCCCAGAGGGGTGGGTGATGGACAGGGGTGAGCATTGTCCAACCCCTTGTGTTTACCTTTTTGATGTCAGTGTACACGACTTCAGACTTCAACATGCCGGCGCAGGCGAGCATTTCATAGAACTCCTCCAGCTGCTCCTCTGTGGCCTCTGGCTTGTCAGCTACAGGGGGGGAGTGGGAGCCAGAGTGACCACACTGCAGGGCCCAGGAGAGAGGCCAGGGAGGGCTGGGGTCCCAGGGGCTCAGCTCCAGGGGTGGGTGAGCCTGGGGCAAGGCCTGGGTGGGGTGGGAACTTGGGGTGTCAAGGACGCTTACCGTAGAAGGTCAGTCCCCGGTTCTGCTCATCTTCCAGGAAGAAGGCAAAGATGAAGATCTTGGGGTCTTTGAGGAGCACCAGCTGAGCATAATGTTCTTTTCCTCCCTCTGAAGGAGAAAAAGGCCTCTGGGTGAGGACGTGAGATGGCACAATCGTCCCCATCTCACCGGTGAAGAAATGTGGGCGTGCCCAGGGCCACCCAGTTCCCAGCCCCTGCTGTGCACCAGGCTACACGCTGAGCACTTTAGGTGTGTGGAATCCTAGGAGCCTCTTATAGACTGTTGCTGGCAGGACCTTTCTCCCCATTTTACAGATGAGGAAAATGAAGCCCAGAGAGGAGCTTCAGGCTGAAAAATGGTGTCACTCAGTTCCATGAGCCTTTGTGTGCTCCTACTATGTGCCATCTCTGCAGTGATGGCGGGGACATAGGTGAAGTCACCACATGCCCAACACATGGGCTTCCACTCTTAGCTTCCTAAGGATCTCAAAGAGCGGTTGAGAGAGAGGCAGGTCTGGAGCCAGCATGGATTTCTGTTCTAGTTCTAATTACAAGTTGTGTGGCCTCAGGGAAACAAGTTGAGAAAAACAACTCTCTGCTTTCCTGTTTATCTGATTACTGCAGTGTGTTCTTAGCTCTTCTGTTTATCTGATTATTGCAGTGTGTTCATATGGTCATTTGTGAGTGTTAAGTGGGTCAGACAGTGCCTGGCATATAGTAAGAGCTCAAAAACATTGATGGTTATTACTGTGATTATTGCAGTGGTGGGGCACTGCGATAGTGGAGCTAGAAGTGGGTTTGTCCTATGTATTCTCTGTGCCTGAAGCCTCAGGGTCTTAGTCCTGACCCCCTCCTTTGGCCAACCCACCCCATTCAACAGGGCAGACCCTCCTGCCAGAGGGCCCTTCTCACCATATTTGGAGATAGTCCCGTTCTCTCGCTGGACGTTCAGATAACTGAAGTTATAGACACACTTGTCCTTGCTAAAGCCAGACAGAAGATGCAAGGAAAACAATGAAACAGTCAAGGAGGTGTAGACAACTGCCCATCACAGACCAAGGGCAAGAAGCAGGTGGAGATTAGAGTCAGCCCTCCCCATCCCACAGGTAAGAAGGCCAAGGCTAGGAAGAGGGACAGACTTGCTGGGGTCTTCCAGCCTCTAGTTGTATAAGCCAGAAGCTGCGGTTGGGGCAGGTAGGGTGGGAGTCTCACATGGTCTGGTACTCTCTGAGTTCTATCTTATCCTCTGTCTTGTTGGGAGCAAGGTAAAAGAAGTCTGCTGAGATCTCCATAGATGCCTTTTTGTACTCAGGGTCTCGTAAGGCCGAAGCAATATAAAACCGCTTGCCAGAGATCTGGGAGGAAGGAAGGAGCAGGTGAGAGGGGCTTGATGCTGAAGCCTTCACTGTCAGCCAGGATCAGAGACTCGGACAAGTCTCTCCCTACAGTTTTGCAAAAGAAGAGACTGAGGCCCCCAGTGGGCAGTGCACATGTAGTAGCTGGCCCTGAGGATCAGGCATCCCTCTGTGCCCAACAAAGAACTGTCCCCTGCTGAGACTCTGAAAAGAGGCATCAGAGTTTGAAGTAGGGCTGGTAAGAATTTCACCCCAAGACCCCAGCAGAAGAAAGCAGAGCCAGGAGCAGGGGGCTGGCCATAGCCAGCAGGGAAAGGGAAACCCAGAAAGGGGAGGAAGCTGTCCTGGCCCAGGTGCTCACCCGGTCCAGGCTAGCATTGGTGATGGGCACCGCCGTCAGGTTGGCACACAGTGGGCTGTGGGCATCCATCAGAGGCAGGAGGCTCAGGACTGCAAGGACCCAAGGCAGCGCCATGCTGAGTGGAGGAGGCAGCAGAAGCCAGGCAGAGCTAGTGGCTGGAGAGCCCAGTGACATTTATAGTAAGCTGTGGGCGGGCCCCCAGTGCTGAAGGAAGGGTTTGCTTTGTGTCTATGACACAATCCTGTCAGTGCTTGGGAAATGCTTTGCACAAAAACTGCCCTTAAATCCAGCCCAAAGGTAGAGTCTCCAAATCCGGGTTCCTGACCTGGAGAGGTTACAAAAGCCTCGTGTTTGGCTTATTCAAGGCAATAGTGGGTGTGGGGCTGGAGAGATGTTAGTTGACATTTGTGAGTTCATAGGTTTCAATAGAGGGCTCTCATGCTGCAATCTCTCATGTTTTCAAGACTTCTCAGGACCCAGCCGTAAATCACGTGCCAAAGAGAGTCCCCAGGTTCATGCAGGATGTGTGCACAGGGGTGGGGGTGAGGTGTGGGCAAATATAGATCCAATTCCACTGAATGTGGTAACATCTGTGCAAAAGCCAAAGTTCAGTAGGGCCCCAACCGAGCCCCGGAGGCAGGCACCTTTCCAAAAAGGGACATCCAAGCTGAGTGTCTTTTCCCAGTAAATGCATTTCTTGAAAAATCTTCAGACATCTGAAAGAGGAAATGGTCTTCCTCTTGTTCCTGACCCCTGCCATCTGAGCATGGGGCTTGCCTCTCTGCCAATACACACCCAATTCTATAGCAGTGTTCCCCCACAGTGGACACCAGGTGAATGTCGTGGGGCTAACAATTGCACTGCCTGCTGGCATTTCTATCTGAAGGGGCAAGTTTTTATCCATATGAATAGATACTTTCAAAAAGTATCATTATGAGACACTTACACTTCTGTGTTCTTATCCATGCATACGATTTGAATGATAAATGTTTCAGTGGAGTCTGGAATCAAAAATGTAATGAATGCTCACCTTTTCGTTCATTTACTATCGTCTAACTTAATCATATCCCTTTTTTACGAGTATGCTTATAGCATTTTATGTTGCGAGTTTTCCTGATATGTCAGAGGGTGACCGAGCTGCCTTCTAAACTTTCCACACAAGAGGAAGACAAGCACACGTCGTGCCTAAGACTTGGACCCCGATGTTCATAGCAGCATTGTGCCAACTAGCTAAAACTAGAAACAACCCAAACCCGCATCGACAGGAAAATGGAAAAACAAGTTGTAGCGTTTTCCTACAAAGGCGTATTCCTTAGCAATAAAAATAAATGAACCACCGATACATAGAACATGGATGAATCTCAAAAGCATTACGCTCAGCAAAAGAAACCAGAAATAATGGAGTCCCTACTCTGCAATTCCGTTGATGTGAAGTTCCAGAACAACCCCAAACGAATCCATAATTTTCCATATCAGATCAGTGGCTGTCTGAGGCAAAGAGGGTGACTTGACTGTGAGGGTGTGAGAGAACTTTCTGAAGTAGATGGCAACGTTCTGTGTTTTCATTGTGGGGGTGGTTACATCCAGACAGACGTATTTGTGACTTACCAAAACTCGTTGAACTGTAAGCCCGAAATGTGCACATTGTATTTATTCTACCTCAACAAAGCTGATGTTTAAAAAACTCTTCCTCCTAGAGAAAACAAAAACGTGAAAAATCCAAAAGCAATCAGAATATTTATTTATTTATTTTTCAGACAGAGTCTTGCTCTGTCACTCAGGCTAGAGTACCGTGACATCAGCCTAGTTCATGGCAACCTCAGCCTCCTGGGTTCAAAGGATCCTCCTGCCTCAACCTCCCAAGTAGCTGGGACTACAGGTACCTGCCACACCACTCGACTAATTTTTCTACTTTTAGGAGAGACAGAGTCTCACTCCTGCTCAGACTGGTCTTGAACTCCTGAGCGCAAGTGTGCCTCTGGCCTCAGTCTCCCAGGGTGCTAGGATTACAGCTGTGTGCCACTGCACAAACAATTATTTTGTGCAATCCAAAAACAATAATTTTGAATGCTGTACCTGTTTGGCAATGCACAAGTGAGTCTCCTTTTTTATCTCCTTGTCAAAACTGGAATTTTCCTCTTCCCTCCTTCCTTCTTCCCCTAGCTCATTTTGTTTTTTGAATTGGCATTGCTCTAATTTGAGGCTTGAAACAATGATTGGAGATGATTGGAGGGGAGAGAGTATAACGCATATCAATCAAGGAACCAGAAGGTCCGTGTGGCTGGAGCGTGTGTGCTCTTGGGTCAGAGTGTCCAGACTTGATGGTGTTAAGATTAGCAGGAGCCTGAGTCTGCAGGGCACAGAAACCAGGGCTGAGGAGTTTGCTAGACTCTAAGAGGTGTTGAGAGAAAGAAATTTGAAGATTTGAAGTGGGGTGAGGGGTGTGCATAATCAGATTTGCTCTTTAGAAAGATCACTCTATCTGTCTGCATGGGAAGTGTGGGGAGAACGGCCTTGGGAGACCAGTTGGAGGAGGGTGCAGTGGCCCAGGAATGAAATGACGAGGACACATTCCAGACACTGTTTATTTTGCAGAGCAGCTGAACACTGTGGAGCCAACACCACCATCAGACCCGGACATCTAGGCTCTTGCTTAGAGTCCAGAGATTTAGAGGGTCCCACCTCTCTCTCACACTCTCTCATTCTCCCTCTCCCTCTCTCTATATATATACTGTTTGCTACTGATACAGGCACTGCTTTAGGGTTCAGGGAGGATTTGAATGAAGGGATAAGAGAAAAGACTACTTAATTAAGGTTCTAATTCGTCTTTTCAGCATAAATGCAATGAATTCTTGTATTATCAACTCCTATTTTCCCAGTAATACTACAGTTCCATTTTCTTGTAATGTATGGTTGGAGAGGTCCTTCCGGGTTGGACATAGGCAGTGTTTGCAATAATTACACATGGTCGCTGAAACATATCGTGCACTTCTAGTTCACATCCCACCTAAACAGAGTGCATGCACAAGTGCACGCATGCACACACACCCACAACACACGTCTGATGCTTGACCTTGGCAACTAGAGGTTGAATGCTAGCCTTGTGAATAATAATTTTTAGTTGTGCAAAACTTTGAGACAAGGTTAAATAATTGATGGCTCGGTGCCTGTAGCTCAGTGGCTAGGGTGCCGGCCCCATACACTATAGCTGGAGGGTTCAAATCCAGCCCAGGCCTGCCAAAGAACAATGACAACTACAACAAAAAAATAGCCAGGCATTGTGATGGGTGCCTGTAGTCCCAGCTACTTGGGAGGCTGAGGCAAGACAATCGCGTAAGCCCAAGAGTTTGAGGTTGCTATGAGCTATGACGCCATGGAACTCTACCCAAGGCGACAGCTTGAGAGTCTGTCTAAAAAAAAAAAAAAAAAAAGATTAACTAATTGAATTTCTAAAACTTAGATTTAGAATGTCGGCTCTATTTAAAATCTTTTGATTTATAACTTTTAAGTACTTAGGTCAGCAGTCTATGGGCTTCCGTTTGTTCATATGCAGAAATCCTGGGGTGGCTAGCATTGGGGAAGGGTGAACAAGGTGAGCCATGTTCTCTGAAGCAAAGTCTCAGGCTGTGAGTCAACAAAGTCCTCCCCTAGGAAGGAGTAAATGGTCCTTCATGTCTTCACTGTCACTCAGGATGCCCTTTGGGGGTCTCACTGTTCACTCAAGAACCTACCCAAGTAATTCCTCCAAATGCACTTAGCACCCACCCGGACACTGTCCAGTTTTCTCCATCTCCTTACATCTCAGGGATGCTGAGTGCCTCTGTGGGTTGAGGTTCCGAGCCGTCCTCCCTGGCTTATCCATCCATCTGGCCCGGACACAATATCAATAGAAGTTTGGCAGGAGCAAGAGACAGAAAAGCCCTCAGGGCAGTATAGGATGGTGGTGGTGCACTGTCCTGGCTTTAGACTTGCTGGCCTTTCTTTGTCAAAGCCAGGAACACCGAGCTCTTTCCTCATGAATAACCACAAAGAATATGTTCACTGAGCAAATGTGTCCTGGCTGAGGAAAGACCCAAAAAAGACTTGCTCAAATTTAAATCCTATTTTACGATGTTGGGCAACTGAGGTAACCTCTTTAGATGTCAGTGTCCTCATCTGAAAAGCCAGGGTTATAATACATTTCTCACTAGCTTGTGCCTGGGATGAAGATGTATCATATTCCACATGGTACCTGGTGCGTGATCAGTATACAAGAAATTGTAGTCATCTTCTGAATGGCGCTGTTATTGGGTTGCACCATATGAAACTTTTGGATGATGTAGGTCCAAAAGTAATTGAATATCATTCCATTTCATACAGTTCATCCTACTATTATTGAAAAACAGCCCTCTCTGTGGTGGGAAAGCAGGGCAGGGCATATCATCCCCATTTTGCAGAAAGGGAAATTGAGGCCTAGAGGGAAAGAATGGCCTACCTGCCCAGGGCCATGTCCAATAGTCAGGAACTGGAACCCACCCCCTGTCTCTCCCCTTCTTGTTCTTCTGTCCCTTACTTTCCCAACACTGTGCTGCTGGTCATTGGGGGGTGTGACTGTCCACAACCGGGGCTTGATTCATTGTGTACAGAGCAAACACAGGCCAGCCTGGGCTTTCCCCGGGAATTGGCTCAGCCTAGTGAGTCCACCTTGGCTGTTTCCTGACAGTTGTGTAATGGAAAATTGGGAACTGTGGGCACTGCCGGTTCAGGGAGAGCTGCCTTCTGTCCCCAACAAATTCCTACCTGTCTCTGCTGGGACTAGGCCAGCCCAGCCCCAGTATCTTCACTGGCCAGGCCCCAAATGCCTCTCTGGGATTAGAGACCAGGCCAAGAGTTGATAGAGTCACAGTTCTAACACGGTGCCTCTTGTTGTCACCTCTAGCCCTTCTTGCTGCCTTTGTTATCCTTTGCTCTGTCTTCCAAGCCATGCAGATGGCACTGATGCCTCCAGAGCTCTGGCCATGGTGCAGACCATTCCCCTGTCCTTCCAGATCATCATCTGCCTCCTGGGTGGCTCTGCTCCAGGGCCAGTGTGCCAACCCAAACCCCTGCTATTCTATATAACCTGTGGCTTGTCTTGTTCCCTGCTCAGCACCCCAGTGTCCCAAACTATACTCTGT